TAGCGCAGATAGCCCTCGTGTAGCTTTGCACGAAATTCAAAAACAAACAAACTATAGTATAATCGCTGAATTGAAAATTAACATATCATACTGTTAGAAAACAGCAAAATATCCCAACATTCATCACTAAAACACATGACTGCTTTGTATAAGAATGTTTAGCAGTGGTTAAAATTGCTACGCCTTTCACTGTCAGTGTTAGCAGTGGTTTAAAATTGTTACGTATTTCACTGTCACAGTATTAACAGTGATTAAAAATGTCTGGCAAAACCTATCAGAACATTTAACATGTTCTAATATTTTATCAGAATGTTTATGATATTTTAGGGACCTATTAGTAGATGTAACATGCTTCATACCTGTTACAACGTTTAAAATGTTCTTCAAGATCATTAAAATTGTAACCAATCCTGTTACATGCTCAGGTGCCGATATTTAGACACGTCAAACTGAGAGGAAACAAGAAAGATACAGCCTAATTGTGGTTTATTACCCACAATTCTCCACTCCAATTACAAACACTTCTATAAAATGACATTTTTTGCGTCTGTGTAATTAAGAAGCAGGATATATTAGGACTGCATAAGACATGCCAATAATTATGTTAATTTTGAATAAGTATTTTGGATGATTTGATATTATAATATCCTTTAAAGAACGTTTATTTCATTGTTGATGTTTTGCAAAGAAACGGGAAAAAAGACGAAACTTTTCCAATCCTTAAAAACAGCAGGTTGAAAGTGAAAACAACATTCATAGCTACAGTTCCTTTAAATGTTCAGTTATTAAGGATGTTTTAATTCTCAGTCTAAGGAAACGTTGTGAGAACTATTTACCTCGAACGTTATAGTAATTATACAGCAGCAACACAAGTTCCTTTAGGTACGTGTGTAACACATACTGTAATAAAAGGTTATTCCTTATGGTTTGGAGGACTGCATATTTGTGACTGCGGTAATTCAGTTCCTGTACGTGTTTATTTCAGTAGTTACGAATACGGATTTTTGTGCCAAACAAGAGAGAATCCTCAGTAGCCGCGGCATTTGAAATCGTTTTAGGCAGAATTAGAGTAAATTAATCTATAAGATTTTTCTTTTCCTTTTATCAGCTATATTTTTGTGCGGCAGCAATAACAAGCGTGGGGCGCGCGTATACCCGATTCGATTTTATTACTCATCGGGATCTCTACGAGTCTAACCTCAAATTGAAATTGTTTTAGGCAGAATTAAATTAAATTAATCTATGAGACCTTGGGCGTGGTCACAGACATCAGTCGAAAGAGTTTGATCTCGTGAGTCCAAAACTGTATATAATTAGATCTCCAATCGGTCATGAAATGACGGGGCTGTAAGCTGTACTTGAAAAACTCGGAGCCATTATACGAGCCACTATGCTGTGGCTAAAAATTAAATACCACCATGAATGCATATGGAGGTACTTGCATATGGAGGTACTGTAGTTCATTGTGGGTAGCTCCTCTCCCCATTCGTTAACTCATTACAAAAATTTACAATGTCGTACAAGAAACGTATGTTTCGACATTTCTTATACATGTACGAAAAGTGTTGGAAAAATAACGATATTTGGTGATGGAAACTTATCACATATAGATAAAAAACTGAGCTTGAACACTTATACAGGACATAATAAACATTTTAATTAAACTAGCATTATTCAAATATTCACTTTGAAACATTGGTAAAATTTTGTACAAAGCATGTTAAAAGATCAAAAAACAAGTTAACGTACTTTTTTTTCTTCACATAAGTCTGAGGGCTTATAACGCTAAAAATAGGGTTTATTACTCGCGGTGGGCAGTTCACACACATAGCCCATTGTGTAACATTGCGCATCACAACAAATAAAGAAAAACCTCACAGATACAGACAACGAAAAGGTGTAAAAATGCAAGTATATAATGTTATTTCACTAATTTCAATCAACAAATGGTCAAAGTGAATAACAGTAATTCAGATGTCAAATTCGTCAGTAGATTAATATAGTAAGTATGTTCATTGTGAGGTTAATCAATCAGAATTATTATTTATCTTTATTGTAAAGAGTTGAACTTCGATTTTCATCTTATACAGTTAACCAATGAATTAGATAAATTGACACTGTATAGAATTTGATTCACTAAACTGTGCATTGAAAGATAAACAAGAACATGATTCATAACAAATCACACGAAAGAAAAAAACAACGGAAATCACACTTGTCAGTTTACACTGGCTCTTAAACTATAGTGATTTTCAGATAATATTTGCCATTGTATAAATTACAAGAAAACGTAACACTTAAGGAAACAATACGAAATAGACTGAGAATAATGACAAAACTTTAAATAAATTGAATAATTTAAACGAGTTTGCTAATCATGTGCTATCTGTTAAAAAGCGAAATAAACTTCACGAAAACAAAAAGTAGTTCGGAATGAGACGTCATTTAGAACGGTAGATAAGCTTCAATACATGTAACTTAGGATCTTTACTTAAATATCAAGATCAAATTCACGAAGTAACACATTCGTTTGTTTCCGTGTCACTATGAGGAATATCTCGATTTTTTTTCATTTTCTTACTGACTCGTCGAATAAGACTGCGACTGCGCCGCTGAGCTGTAGTTTCCTCCGAGGATCGGGATTTGCTCGCTCCCGAAGCATGAGCGCTGGACCGACGATGTAAACCAGTTGTATCGGCGGGAATTGAAATTTTGGAAAGTTGTAGGAACGCTTTGAATACTTCCCGGACATTGATATTGTCTCGAGCAGAGCATTCCATTACTTTCACACAGAGCTGTGGCATTTCACAGAAGACCCATTCTGCAACGTCTTCCTTGAGGATTTCTCTTCTACCAGCTGCCAGATCCAGTTTATTTCCAACAACGATAATCGGAATATCTTGAAAGTCACTGCGCTGCTCACGAATTTCGTCGAAACACTTCTTTAAATCTTCAAAGGAGCCGCTACTATCAACACTGTAGACCAATAGGAACGCCTGAGCAGTGGCAATAGACAATCGTCGCATGGCGGGAAATTGATTATCTCCTGCAGTGTCCAAAAAGTCTACTTTCAAAGTAAGAGTGCCAATTGCAAATTCACAATAGTGTAAATCTTCTACGGTAGGGGAATGCTTTTCGTTAAAAGTGTTCAAAAGAAATCGCTTGAGAATTGCAGATTTTCCAACTCCTCCTCCACCAAAAACAACAAGTCGAATGTGATAGGTTGTTGTTTCCCCCATCTTCAACCTATGGTGACAAGGATTGAAGGCTGCAATTCTGTCTGTGGAAAGAAAGTAAATTCAATATGAATTTTTATTATTATTGTATATATATTTGTCAAATTACACCGTTTGCTAACAAACTGACTTTGGAAAACGTAGACTATTTTCAAGTAACCTTATTCACTTTATACTGACACGCATGAAATAAGCAGAGAAATATAATTGAAGGTGGTGCTCTCGAAATAAAACATTTAAGCTTCATATTGAAATATTTTTTCCTACATCTAGCAGTCATTTTTCAGGTTTCCAGAAAACCTGTTTTCTTTTTACTTATTACCCTGGTGCTTTTATCACATACTACATTATTTTCCATACACGTGCACTTCAGACTTACAAAGAAAACTATAACTATATATCAAATGTTAAGCTAAACTCGAGATCCAAGGCAACTCGGACTTTTCTCTGCATCGCCAATATCTTCATGTTACAGCTTCTCACAAGTAAAGCTCATTTCTAAATCTATTTTCCGAATAATAACGTAAAAAAATGACAGGAGTTTATATTAACTGCAGTTGATTCATGCGTGGAGGTTCCAAGCAGCTCACGATTAACCTCCTTTTTTCTGAGGTGGGCGCTTCTGAAAGAACAGTCTGTCTGGAAAGTATTAGATATGGAAGACTTTTCAGCAGTCTCACTTTTTCGTGATCTAATCCTTTTCAGACCTTTAGAAGCACACGCAATGGGGCAACATCTACCCATGAAAGATATTAAAGTTTCACCTCCTTTACTCTTAATAACATTGCTCCCGCTCTATAAAACTTGGAAAGTGAATGAAATTGGAGCTAATGCAGCCACTCCTACAAATCTACCACTGGTTTAATTTTTTTTAGTAAGGATTTAATATTAATTGAATTTATAAACACTGAGGATAAATGGCCTTTATTTACGCAAAATAGGTCTACAGAAGTAAAAAATTACTTCATTTTGTTTACATAATGATGACTGATGATATCTGAATTTTGACGCCTTTGTAACTTCATTAGTTAATATTATATCTGGTAAAATTCAGTATACTTTTGAGATACATTTAAGTCTGATGTCTGATACCTTTACTAGTAATTTGGAATTGTTTTCCTTAGATAGGTTTTCACCTGTTTATTCGCTACTTTTAGCATTAGTTTGGAATTTCTCATAGGACACATTTTATTCTTTTAAATGACACCAAGTGTCTGGCTTATTACGTGATAAAACCAAGAATGTGAGAGTATTATGTAGAAGGCTGTGATACAGTAAGCTTTGATAGGAGTATATAGTTGAAAGACGTTAATGGAGTGTATCTATGTAGGAAGTTTCAAAAGACGTTTCAAGATCTGCGCTAGCAGCTCGAAACGTTGTCCATATATTTAAGGTCATAATTCTATAAGTTTAGAGGGAAATTTAATTAGATGCTTATTTCGATGCTACACAAAGTATAGATATTTATGCTTCATATTACTGTCCTGAAAACTTTCTCATTCTTCTTAAATTTATATTGCGTATAAAACGTTTTATTTATCGAATTTCGTTATACAGAACATATTAACATAATTTTATTATAAAATTAGGGTCTGTTTAATCTATAAGTACTTAGGTGTTTTCAATTTTTTTGGAATATTAAACCAGCTAATCCAGGCCAAGGATTTCGCTGGACTTACTCCACTCCAACTAGATTAATCCAATATTTTAGGATATGAGACTCTGTTATAAATCTTATCACCCTTAAAACCTCAATACAAATACCTACACGTAACTTCCTAAAACCAAATTAGAAGGTTCCTGTAACTTAAAAGTAGTGGTATTATGGAAAACTCCAAAAAGAAAAACAACAAAAATTTAAATTACTTCTCACAGACTAATAACTTCTCACTGTTTACAACTTAATTTAGCTGAAGCTTCAAACTGCAAATTGAACATTACCTCTTTTTACCCTACTGAAAAAATTATTTGAGCGAAAACATCAGGAATAAAAAGTATGTTTTCCTGAAGTCAAGTTGCATATTATTTTTGTTTCTGAGAATGCCTTCTTTGTTAGAACGATTTTTTTATGTCCCGTGCTACCACTGGAGCATTATTGACTGTTCACATTCTTATGGCTGTAATTATACACTTATTCAGACACCACAGTTTCCACTGTAATAAGCTTCTGAGAATAACGGCGAGGTCAGTCTTAGACTCCATATTTTGGCAAACGTTCTACAGACGCCCTACGGTAAATGGATCTCGGCTTCCAAGACCACGTTTAAATAAACCAAAGACACGGACATCCATTTCAACTGTATCGGGGTACTTGACACTTATGTGGTCGAAAGAAATTTCTATGATTCCAGTTTCGTTAGTTTAAGAAAACAGCAATTAATATCGAGAGTGTGACTAGATGCTTGTGAACTTTTGGCTTGTGGGTCTGTTAACTTCAATTTCGTGTTTATCAAGCAGGCGATAGCACTGCTATGTAGAGATGGTTCGCATTATTCATCAAAATGGCATTTTAAATATTTCCTCAATAGGTCATCAGAACTTTACAATACTACACAGTGTTTCCTTTTATAACAATATCCGTGTAATGACTGAGTCACAATTTCTAGGAATGTCTGTAAGTATCATAGCAAAAAGTTTGAATTCCTTGTTATTCTTTCTTCTGCTTCTTTTTTATTACATGATAACTCAATAACAAACACAATGGTGCCAACCAATTTCACTAAGGTGACAGTTTCAAACAGAGTATTCTCTTTTACATGTAATATTAATAACTAGAAGTAATAAAAATATATAATAATTCTAGTTTAAACAATGTTACCATGACCCCTTGAAGATACCTATTTTTATAGAAATCTGGTGTTCCTTTAAAAAGCTTAAGTGCAGGGTGAAACAGGAATTACCAGCCAATAATAG